CCCCAAAACCCCAAAACCCCAAAACCCCTTATCTATTGTAAAGATGGAAAATATTAGAGCTTAATTCTTAACTAATCCTGCTACAGAATCCAGGCCTGTTCCTTCGTATATGAAAATAGTTGTATCTATTAGCAGGAGTCAGCATTGACTGAGGTTGGGTGTATTCCTTCCTATTAAATGGCTTATTCACAGGCATGTAGTTTATCCTTGATTTCTGAACGGCTACCTTTTCAGGAAACGTGATTGCAAAACCTTCATCCGCAGTAATATTCTCACTACAATCTGAGATGGCAGAATTTTTAGACTGATGATAAGTGATTGGTTTGGGTCTAACTCTCTTGTAAATATTCATGCTAAGAGTTTATCAAGATGCTTACTTCTTATTCACCTCTTGATTAGGCGGTGAATATACAACTTTCGATCCGATTGGAGGCTCATATGCCCGTTTTGTACGAGGAACTTCAAAGGGAGTATTCTTTGGCTCTAAGCATTCCCTATTCATATTACAGATACTAATCTTAGGACGAAACTCCTTGATGGCCCTCTGCTTAAAACCCTCCACGGGGTATGCTGAATCTCCCGTTGATAGATTAGAGAATGAGTCAGAGGAGTTTTGAGAGTCATCGTTCTTTGGATTATCCAATGTAAATAATTTGGTTGAACTTTTGATCCTTAACATTCCACGACTTGAGCATGGCTGGCTTAACTTACCATAAGTTCTGTCTCTCATCAAGCCGTTTTGTTGGTACTGTCCAAGTTGAGTAATCTTGTCATTATTCTCAGAGCTTGAAAGGTCTAAAGAATTAGTTTTACATTGAGAATTATTTAAATCATAACCAATGTGAAATTCGTTTAAATCTGCTTATGGTTGGCTACAATTCGATAAAAATTGAATTTTCTGACGATAAAAGAAACTTTAAAGGTATCAAAAAAGTCTTCACTTTCCCTTTTTATAGAAGTTATCCTAAGTTCTCTTAATAAAGTTGATAAACCCCTGCTATTTTGATTTATTTAGAGTATAATTTACTCTAAACTTGGAAATTTTTAAACGAATCTTTCTAAAATCTCAAAATGTTCAATACAAAGTACTAATTTTATGCTTTCTTAAAATTCCAAGGCATATTGATATAAATAATAAGAAATTACTTCATTAACATTTTACCCAATTATGTTTGCTAAAGAATTTTATGAATAAATCCAGAATTTTTAAATTCCCATTTAACGATCCTATGAATTATCAGAATAATGGCCAGAATCCACTCGGTTATCTTCGGGTCGGCTAAGGTCAAATCTTGTAAAAGTTTCTAAAACCTGAAGTAGAGAGCAACATGAACTTTTCAAGTTAATTACTTAGATTTATGCTACAAATATTGAATATTTTGTATTATGGATTATGAATTGCAAGTCGTCATTACCATCAGCATCGAACTCTTCAGAGTAATTATAAATAGAGAGATCTCTTTGAACACTGGACACTTTGTCGTCAAACTGGTACTCATTTTTACTATACACACTTCCAAGGTTTAAGGAATTGGTCCGGTCGTGCTGGGAGGATTCTAGCCGCTCTAGATTACGAAAGTCCTCCTCCAGATCTGCACTGTTGTCATGAAGCTGTAAGTTAAGGTCATCAAACGTTTGAAAATTGTTAAAATTCTGGTTGAGATTCCATATCAGAAGGATTATTTGTGTGGGTATTTCAAACAATCTTGGCCTGCTTTGAGTCTAAGCAACTATTAATATCTGGAGAGAAGGAAAAGGGAATCAAATTTACCTTGAGCTGGATTTCAGTCTTTCTTCGGATTTTTCAGCTTGTTTTCATTTCAAATTGGTTTAAAATTTGTACCAGTGTTGTAATAGTCAGAATTTTTGGGCGATCGGTACTTTTGAACATGAATATTGTATGAAAACACATGAGGGATCGCTCTCTTGTTCTCCTTAGAATCAACATTCTCGCTCTTATTTTTGCTCAAAAACCACTAAAAATTAATTGAAAATTGCCAAAAATATTAAAAGTGAAATCTCAAATCAGGGGTTACCTTTAGGGTCATTTTCCATCTCTTGGTTCTCATCAAAACCTGGCGAATAATCCTCTCTACTAAATATTTTACGCCTTTGTCTGTAGCTCATTTCTTAAAAATTATAATTAATCTATATTTTTTGAAAAAACAGGGGTTTTGGGGTTTTGGGGTTTTGGGGAGAT